TATATATATATATATATATATATATATATATATATATATATATATATCCAAAGGACACCAAGTATCTCCTGGAAAGATACTTGTACATCCTTCTTCATCGCTGCTGTATTTACCAAAGCTAGCAAATGGAGTCGGCCTAGACATCCATCAAGTAACAGATATTGAAAATGTGGTGCTTATACACAACAACATTTTATTCTGCCTTAAGGAAAAATGAAATTTGCAAGAAAAAAGATTCAAGTGAAAATATACTATGTGGGTAACCCTGAACCAGAGACACATACGGAACCTGTTCTCTCATATGTGTGGACCCTAACTTTGGAATTTTGATTTCTGTGCTTAATTTGGGGTGTTTGTAGAGGACAGGAAACTAGAAAGAGACCATGACATGTGGTGGTGGGGCAGGACCTAAAGCATAAGGGAACCCTAGAGAAATACCGGGAGTTAAATGTTTAAACAAGTGTAGGGTGGGGGCAGGAAGGCAGAGCATTAACACCGGAAGTGTGAAGACACTCATGGGACCTCACTACTTGGTAAGCTACCTTAAAAACAAAATTTTCAAAAAGGAACTGTAACACAGGTACCGCAGCTACGCTCAGAAGCCGTGAGTTATTCAATGAAGATCTCAGTGTAAAGTGTGGGAGACCACGTTACACGTTATTGTAGAGTCAGGAAGACCCTAGAAGCCTCCAAAATTACAGAGTAATGTCAATGTTCTTTACTGTTCATCCCAGCAAGGTAATAAGACCCCATTGCAGAAAACACCACATGCTTCAGTTACAGAGCATAGAGAAAGAAATCCAACGGGAAATTACCTGAAAGCATCCTTCCCGATGACATAACTCACATCGTGCTGTGCAGGCTGCTGGGCGGTAACGTCATCGATGGAGCTTTAACTGCCCAAGGATGAGCCCTACATGCTATGGTACTGACCGTTATGCCACACCCTGTTCACGTATTCCCAAAGCAATGCTGCTCTGGCTTCTGGGGTCACACAGACTTAAATAGGTCCGTTTTTATTTACTTATTTACTTGCTATTTCCTATTTATAGATATTTACATTAAACTTCAGACAAGGATTGTTATATCTGTCTTGCATTTCTTAGATGGCTTTGTGGGGTGTGTGTGTGTGTGTATGTGCATGTGTGCAGTAGATGTACATTTTACATGGTTAGTGCATGTATGTATGTATGTGTGTGCGTGCATGCATGCATATGTGTGCATGTGTACATAAAGGCCATTGCTGGGTGCACCCTAGCTCTCTTGCCACTTTAGAGAAAAGATGGAATACATCATGAATTAGTGTGTCAGCCTTGCTCAGGGACCATGCTAATCTTTCTTGTATCATCCCAAGTTCAGTATATAAACTGCAAAAGCAAGACCTGCCTTAGTTTTGAGAAAGGATCTCTACTGAACCCTAAGATCACCAGTTGAGGTAGTCTGGGTAGCCAGTGAGCTCTAGGGATCAGCCTACCTCTACCCTGACAGAGATAGGGTTAGAAGAGCATATTGCCCCACTCAGTTTTTGTGTGGGTGCTGGGGATCTAAACTCAGGTCCTCGTGCTTGAACAGCTGACAATGTACATAGTCCCCCGACTTCTCATAATGATGTATATAACTAATATCAGGGTTTTTTTTAAGTACCTGGCATTAAAGGCACTTACCTTATAAATTAAATGGATTAACTAGAACAGAATAAGTGGTAACTAATTGAAATCAATCCAGAAGTCGCATTGCAATAGCCTCCATGGACACATTATTGGAAACCAAAATTGATCTCATTTTAGTTCTTCACTCTAGAGTCCCACACATGGCTACTTCAATAGGATGACCTCACTATTGCATCTCTCTCCTTGCAGTTCAAATAGTACCCTCTAGATCCTCTTCCCATTGTGTCCGGGTCAGATTTTCAGGAAAGATTCTGGTTGGTCAAATCAATTATCATTGTTCTTCTACAGATATTTGTGTCAGGACATTGAATGAGTTAACTGATTTCCCTCGGGACCGCAAAGAGCACAGGTAGTATCATGTAAGAATCCACGCACAAGTTCCCTCCATAAGGTATCTGTGAGAAACGACCAGCAAACCTGCTCAAGCAGGATATCCTTCTACTGTGAAGTAAGACTTTCTCCCCACATTAGCTTTCAGCAGAGATTAATTACTAGGCATACAATAAATTCTCAAATGTTATATTTAACTCTATGTCTTAAAAAAAAATTAAGTCTCAGGCTAAAGAGATGACTCAGAGGTTAAGAACACTGACTGCTTCCAGAGGTTCTGAGATCAATTTACTCCAACCATATGGTGACTCACAACTACCTGTAATGACAGCTGGTGCCCCCTTCTGACCTGCAGGGATATATCACATGCAGGCAGAACACCATACACATACTAAATAATAAATAATTTTTTTTAAAAAAAGTAAGTCTCTCTTTCCCCCTTTTTGAAATTACAATATAATTACATCTTTCTCCCTTCCCTTTCCTCCCTTCAACCCCCCCTACACCCTTCCTCCCTCTCTTTTAAATTCATGCCCCCACTTTATCAATTGTCATCAAACACATATGTGTATACACATATATTTCTAAATATAAATTGCTCGGTCTGTATAATGTTGCTCACACGTGTGTTTCAGGGCGGACCATTTGCTATTGGACAGCCAGTTGGTGTGATCTTCCCAGGGAAAGACCATCTCTCCCTCTGTCACCATTCTTCAGTTGCTGTAGCTCTTTGTGGAGGGTTGAGACCTCGTGGGCATTTCCCCATTCACGTCTATTGTTGTTCTTGTTCATTTCATGTTTACGCATTTATGTTGGTGAGACTTTCAGCATATGAACCACAACCACCACCAGTATGGCAGATAACCATCAGGGTACAATAATGGTACACATTCCTTCGTGGCAAACATCAGCTCTCCAGTTAGACTTAAGGTCCGCTTAACAGGTAGGAAATCTGCTGTGGAGTAATTCTCTTGAACACGGTAAAGATTTGTCACTCAAATCGATTTAATAAAATGCTGATTGGCCAGTAGCCAGACGGAAAGTATAGGCAGGGTGACCAGACTAAGGATGTTGGGAAGGAGAAGGGTAGAGTCAGGAGTTGCCAGCAAGGCACAGAGGAATCAGAAGATGAACATATCCTGCTAATAAAGGTACCACCATGTGGCAAAGCATCAAGAAGGAATGTGCGTTAACTTAAAGTGTAAGCGTTAGCTAGTAAGATCCTGAGCTATTGGCCGAGCATTTGTAACTAATATAAGCCTGAGTGTGCTTATTTGGGAGCTGCTGGTGGAACAGAAACTTCCAAGTTCAGAAATTGTGCCTGGTACTAGGACTCAAGCCAACTATTCAAGGCTAGGGAGGTCGTGGATCTTTGAGGAGAACCTATGATCACTTACGTTAGTTATTTAAATGCTGTTTAAGTTCATTTAGAACATGTTTCCATTCTTATGTTGATGCAAAGTAGAACTCTCACCTCAAAGGGCAAAAGAGATTGCTAATTCTTGAAAGAAATATAAGTGACCATGACCCAGGAATGCAGATTTAGACTGACACAAATAACATGCTCAAACATGGAAACAGTTTCATGAAATTCTATAGTTACAGGACAAAATAAACACATAAATCCAGGCGTTTTTTTTTTCATCACATCAGTTGAAATATCAGTTAGGCAGCTACCAGCAAAGCGGAGAAATCCCGCTATAGTCACAGGTACTCTCCGGTGAGATAGTTGGCATTGGAGTTAATAGAAGTCTGCTGTGAACACATTCCAAAGGGTTTCACAAGACAGTTGCAAGAATTTTAGGTCAGATATGGGTATGAGAATGAAGAACTAGTAAGAAAGCAAAACATATTCAAGATAATTTAGCTCTTCTAGCATTCCAACTCTCCATCAGTCTATCTGTCTTATAGAATCTTTGTGGGGAAAAGGGGTGCAAGTGTGTGTGCTGGTACACAGTCTCCATAGAGGTCAGAGAACAACCTTGGAATTTCATTCCTCAGGCACTATCCATCTTCCTCCCTCCTTCCCTCCCTCCCTCCCTCCGTCCGTCCGTCCGTCCCTCCCTCCCTCCCTTCCTCCCTTTCTTTTTCATTTATTTTATGTTTTGAGAAAAAGTTCTTCCATTGGAGTAAAACTCATGAAGAGGACTAGGCTGCCTGGCAGGGGAGCCCCAGGGCACCCGTTCATCTCCACCACTCCAGCACTAGGGGAAGAAGTGCACATCAACATAGCCATTTTTTAGGAAGGGGGTGGCATGGTGGTGGTTCTGGGCATTGAAAAAAGGTGCTATGGAGCCATCTCCCCTGACTCCCAACCTTGTAGAACCTTTAACGGGAGTGTGGCTGTTTTCTGAGAATTTGGTTTGCTTTTATCTGTTGGTTTTTCCTTGAGCTCTTCATGCTGCTGACATGTGTTGCTTGTTATGCCTGGCATCTTTCCCATGGCGTCACGTGAGTTCATACATTCACCTTACCACACAAAGTGCTATGTTATTCATGTTTAGCAAGAAGAAAACTTAGGCACAAGGAATTTAGACAATTTACACGGGATTCAGAAGCTGAGTAGGAACTGGAACTCAGGTAAGACAGCTTCCAAGCACTAGATTTTAACACTAACCCATAACATCTTTCAAATATTAGTTAATATCACTAACATTCTAATAATAAGTAATACATGAGAATGACCATTGGGACTTCAAACATAATACCCCAAAGTATGCCGTCATGACATGCAGTACTTTGAGAAGGTCCCAGAAGCGAGGTCTGTCCTGACCTCCTTCTTATCTCTCCAGTTCCCACTTGGGTCACAGAAAATAAAACTTCCACCCAATGAAATGGGTAATCTAAGAATCCCTCTCTCTAAACTAGTCCTCAAACCTAGAAGGACTCTTTCACATTCCTTCACTTTTCTGTGGGAGGTGTGGTAGCAAATGATTTTTTTTTTAACCTACATACTTGAAAGCAGGTCAAAAGTCCCCTCATTCCAGAAGTCTTCCCCATGACTCTTGGATTTTCTGCCTTCTTACTTCAATCTGTCCCTGTCAGATCCTGGTCTTTTTGTCCAATCCTATGTCTCTCAATTCCTCACCCATCTCATCAGACTTAGCATAGAAGCACACGTTTCCACAGCTCACTGGGTCGTTCTTTCTGGACGGTTGTTACCTCATTTTGTGTAAAGTATGTTTATGCTTTTATCCTGTAGAACTTTTTTTTTTAATACAGGTTATTAGCAAAGAACTCTAGCAATGCCTGAAAAAGTGGTGTATTTTTTTTTTCTTTCATGGTACCAAACAGTGAACTAAAAGTATACATCCTTATGTCCTTCAAGGTCTGTTCTCTTGCTATGGTCTCAGTCTCACATCTGCCTCAGCGATGTTGCCTGAAGCGAAGCTGTAACTTTCCCTCTCAACACCGCTGCAGGTGCGCCCCACAGGGCTTTGATACATTCTAAATTTGTTATTCAATTAAGTAGACTTTCTCATTTCCATCGCATCCCATCCACCCATATTCTTGGTATACTGCTCCGATTATAGACACTGGGAATGTCTTGTTCACTTGCTTCCAGTTCAGTCTATTATAGCCAGTGAACAAACAAACAAGCATAGTGTATGAGATTTGAACTTGTTGAGTTTTTACTTTGTGGGTCAACGAACTCAGTATTACTTTCTGTATCCTGAACATCAGGTTTTCTGTTTTTCCAATCACTCCTAAGAGCTGATTATGGTTTAGAGGTCACTGGGTATACAAATCACATTTAAGGGTAGGCCCTATGCCCAACACTAGATGGCCAATACAAAACTAACTCTATGGTATTTTTCGAGATTTTATTTCTCATGTTACTTTGTTTTGGCTTTTTTTTTTTATCCTACTGGTCTTTTGCTTGTATATTATGGTTTCTGATTTTGTTTTTTACGGGTTTTGTGTGTGTGTGTGTGTGTGTGTGTGTCTTTCTGTTTGTGCTTTTTTTGGTTTTTTGCTTGTTTTGTTTTATTGTTTTTTTTCCTGTTTGTTTTCTAAAGAGAAAAGAAGGCATGAATTTCAAAGAGTGAGGAAGTGGAGGATGATCTGGGAGGAGATGGGGCAGGGAAACTGTGATCAGAATATGTTGTGTGAAAAATTATTTTCAATCTTAAAAGGTATCCTGGTTATTCCACAAAAGAAAGAAATTAGACTTAGACAGTTTGAACCAAAATAAAATTATTTTTGAATTTCATGATTGGTGATATCAAGAATCAGTCTCTTTCCCCACAAATTAACTTTCCCACAGATAAAATATTTATGGTCTTTTAACATATGTATTTAAATTTTTGCAGTCTTCTCCTCAACCCAAAGAAAATCACCAAAGGTAACTCTCACTCAGTAGTGACTGACCCTGAAGACCTGATCAACTTTCTTACCTCTTGAAGTACTTCAAAGACAAGTTTCGAGTTTAATTTTGTCATTATAAAATAATTTTTGTTTATGATTGTACCAGTGTCTGTTATATGGGTAGATATTTATATGAACTGCTGACATGCATGTTGTTCTAAATAAGACCTTAAATTGTTAATAAAATTAATAACAATTAAAATGTACCTAGTTGTCAAAAAATTCCCTTCTTCATGCATCTCTCCAAAACTACACCATTCAGCAATAAGTTTTAGCTCAAATTACTTTCCTTTCTCTCTTCTTGATATTCAAAATGTAGTATCATTTCTGATGGCAAACAGAAAAGGAGACCCACTTGGATTCGCCCATAAATTTAATTTTTTTTACCTGCAGTTAAGGGGAGCAGAGCTGGCCTGGCAAGGGGCTAGCCAGGTAGATTGGGGATAGGGGCGGGTCCGGAAGAGTGTTGAGGCTTGGGGTAGGATAGCCAAAAGGTTGGGACTAGGGGCTGGATAGCAAGAAGATTGGAAAAAGTGGGAGTGGGGTGGGGGAGAGATAAGGGGTGAGCTAGAGAAAAGGGGAGGACTAGGGCCCCAGTAGGCAAAGAGGGCGGGGCTAGTGGGCGAGCCGGCTAGGGGGCGGGATTAGAGGTTGGCCGGGCAGAAGGTTGGAGTCAGCGGAGGACCAGCTAGGTAGGAAGGCGGGACAGGGGCGGACCGGCTAGGAGGGCGGGATTAGAGGCTGACCCGGTAGAAGGTTGAGGATAGGGAAGGACCAGCTAGCCAGGAGGGCGGGACTGGGGCGGGCCGACTAGGAGGGCGAGGCTGGGGCGGGTCGGGTAGAAGCTTGGGGTAGAGGCAGGACTGGAAGGAGGGCGGCTCCGAGGGGCGGGGCAGCTAGGTGGGCGAGGCTAGGGCGGACTG